AGAAGAGGAAACTGCCGGTACTCTCTAGACTGCCCACACTGCTGTACAGCTTGCCGAACTCAGTGGTCTTCGCAGGCAATGTGACACCTTGCAGGAGAGCTTGTGGGATTTCATACTAAAACTCCTGCCCATGTTTGCCATAGAATTATTTCTGGATCTTCCTCCAACTACAGAGAGAGTGCTGGTGGCATTTCTGAGGCCTTACGCAGTGTGACGAGACATCCCGCTGAAGAGAATGTAAAAGCTTGTCTAAATTGAAAAACTAGAGGTATTCACCGACAGAGAGCAAAGACTCAGGCAGTGCACATTATCTACTGCAGAAATTAACAAGTGCCACATGGGTTGAGAGAGATGAATGACCATGGATGCTACAAAAGATGAAAAAAAGAAGTAACTACTTTCTCCTCTGCAAGTGTCACCATACAACCTTTAAAATATCTATATGCCAGTGAACTACCTTTTTCAACCATGTAATTCAATCCCAGCTGAGCATGACCCAAAGAATATTGAAATGTCCCCCTCAAATCCCAAATTCACCTTCCATTCCTCCAAAGTTGGTGTAGCTCACATCTTCAAGTTCAGATCTTAGCCAAGTCCAGCTCACACTCACATCATCTACAGAGCAGGAAATTCCACCCGCACTGAAATTTCCAAAGATGCTAGCATTTTGCATAACTCGCAACTAAAAATTAGGCAACACAGATTGCTATGATGCATTACTGTGGAAAAAGAGCCTTAGCTTATCTTCTTTCATACCCTCTGGAGAGCTGAAAAGTAACAGTGTCAAAGCAGGAAACTCAATTGAGATGAACTCTTACGTATTTCACCCAATTTTTTCACACCCTCCCCTTTTTTTTTCCAACTCCAGTTTTTCAATTTTTCCATATATCCATTTTCACCAACTGATTACAGAAATACACATTACAAGATACTATCCCAGGATCCTGCAAAAAATCCCACTACAGAGAGCAAATAGTCACTAAGACTAAATACTGAACAGACTTTGGGCTGTAGATACACCCAAGGGACTTGATGAAGGCTTGGATCTTTGTAGAAGCCAGCTGAGAGAAACTGCTGGTCCACTTTTAAGTGCTCAGTGCTACTACACAGGAGATGCTTGGTTTAGTAAGGAACCCTAGGGATGGACCCCTAGATGAAGTCCCATCCAGATGTTCACAGTACACCACGTTGCCCAGGGTCCGATGAAAGACATTATCACATTCAGAAGCATGAGGAGAAAAAGAGAGGGAGAAAAGAGGAAATGTCTGCCGAGCACACACAGAGAAATAAAAAGAAAAGCACTGGCTGAGTTCCAGAAATGAAAATCTGGCCCCACTGAAGTAGGTGGGAGCTTTGCCACCAAATTTCAATGGAGACAGAATTTCACCCGATGTGAACAGCACTCTGGAAATATCCTCCCTCCAGACACACTGTGGGAGCTTTTCTGGCAATGAATACTCACTGGAAACACAGAAAGGGAAATTAAACCCAAATCAAGACAACAATACCAGAATGATTAATCAACAAACAAAAAGGATGCAACAACAGTTAAACAAAAAGTATTGCAGAAGTGGGTGGAAAGAAGGCAGCAAGACCCTTATTTCCTGGACTACTGAACTTTGCCAGGAATAAAGAGGGATGCAAGGACTCGTGGTGCTGGATACACGTTGCCACGTCAAGACTGCACTGGAGGCAATCTGCACAGATTCAGTAACACAAGGAAGAAAAACTTCTAGCACAGATTCAGTCTTGGAGTATGCTCCTGTCACTAATGCTATATAAAGAGGCCAGAACCTAGCAACTTCAGCGAAGATTCCTAGGAGCAATCAGTGTCATCGCTTACAAATTACCAGACAGGCTAGTTCACAGAAAGGGCATGCTCAGCAAGCTCTGCAGTTGTGTAACTATGAGGATTTGGGAAATGAGAAATACAATGCCTGAAATACAATAAACAGACCCAACACCTATAAAGCCCCATCTATATGACAGCTATGACCCAGTTACTTACCTTACCCTCTGATTTAGTTTAGCATTTGGTTTCATACCACAACTGTGCAGTGGTCCTAGATGTTCCCCTTTTGCTGGCTTAAGGGTTCAGGCTTCCTAAGATGCTAAGTTCTACCTTTCAGAGTGTTGAATAGCCCAAATCCACCTAAAGCAGATGGAGGGATAAATTCCCATCACTGCTGGGACTCAGCCCCTAACTCCCAATCAAAGACCTCTTCTTTGCTGGAGCTTGTGCTGCAAAAAAGGGGACTAAATGGCTCCATTTCTGAGAACTACTGCAAATTGCACCACTTTGGATGTGGTGATGACAGCATGCAAACTTGCACACCTACCACTGACTAATATTCAAGTATTGTTTTCCACTTTGAGATGGGAAATCCAGCTGAAGATTCATGTCTACATATCAATGATGGGTGAGTGACAACAGCTAGCCAAGCATTAAACCAGAGTTCCCTGAGTGACTGTGCGTGACAGGCGCAGCATAGGCAGGTACACACCATGGTCTGGAAGCTCCCAAGGTCCTGCGAGCCTTTCTCAGGACTCTTCTTGCCTCACAAAACAACTGGAGTTTTAGCAGTGGGTCCCCAGCCACTCCTGTCATGGCGTGAGGCTCACAATCTTCACAGAGCTCAGGCCACCTCCCAGCTTCCCCTCCCTGCTCTCTTCTCCCTCTCTCAAATAACCAGGGAAAAACCCTCTTCGCAGTCCTTTGCCAGACCACGTGACCAGTCTCTTCAGGTGATGGAGATGTCCTGAAGCTCCATGGTTTGCTGCCTCATTACCCATGTGCCTGGACAGACCACTGGTCTCGGTGCAAGTTCCTTGTCCATGGGCTCTGCTGTCAGCCCTCAGGAATACCCCATGTTAGCGCCTATTGCCCAACGTTATTAAAGGTCAGGGATAAAACGGAGAGCATCACGGCAAAACAAAGCATCTCTGCAGGCCTTGCAGTACCCTGATGGCTCAGAGCAAGTTTTTCACACAGTTGCTTGGCTGGCAACTTGGAAAATGAAAATCAAATTTCTGTGGACTGACACTGATCCTTCTGCAGACTCTGGAAACAAAACTGGGAGGGGAGAGTGGCCGGAGAGTTACTGAGCTCTTGTGCTCCCTGGCTGCCTCAACACCATTGTTACCCCTGATGACAGACCAGAAGAACTGCTTCTCGGTGTGCCAAGATCCTGGGATGAAAAGCATGGACTACCCCTAGTGCTGGGCTTTGCACCAGGCTGCCGGCTGTTCCCAGCATGTGCCATGCAGCTGTGGGTGTAAAGGGCACGCCACGGCCCTCCTTCCCAACTTCAATAGCCGACCTTGTGAAGAACAGCAGGACAAGGACAATTACCTGCCAGAGGAGCTACTCATTTCAGGAGTGTTAAGAGGGTACAGCTGAGACCAGTATCTAGCCCAGTCTTTAGTTACATTGTGGTACCATGAAGTAAAATCTTCATGGTTTAAATCAGCCTCAAATGCATTTAAAACAACTACTGGAAGGAACAAAATAACATCTCGTTTTGAACAGCTCTTGCCAGCACTCAAGCAGGCTTGAGAAAGTTGTATGCCACCAGCTGACAGGCTGGCCACAGATGACAGCTGGGCTTATAACCTTCCTGCTCAGCCCCTGCTGGATCCAGGACTTAGACCGTAAAAGGACCAAACCTGAAACCAGTACCTAATCCACAAAGGGAGAACTTAAAAATCCACTTCTGGGTCACTTGTGGCTAAGGTTGTAAGTCCAGCGCTTCCAGAAGTTATTTTCACTGCCATGACACTGGCTGCAATATGTGGGAAAATGTGATTATCCATGGAATAAGGAGACTAATGTAAAATCATTTAAGTCTAGTCCCCTGCTCTCCCTCCTACCTTTTACATATCATATTATTACTTGCCTTCTTTTTTACACCCAGGCCCAGAGTAGTACCTAGGAATGGTTGAAAATGTATAATTTTTTCCAGGACCTACGCTGACTACATATACAAACCAATATTTTACCACATTCTCCTACCTCCCTTCAAGTATATCTGATGATTTTCTGCAATAGTCTTGTCCATACTAATACACCAACTGGTATCAAACAGGTAAGTATTTTCTACTGATCTGCAATTTTACCTAAAAATGAGAATTTTAGACTAGTACAATCCTTACTCAAAACAGCTGACAACATTCTTTTAAAACTGTCAGAAGTAGATCTTCAACAAAGAACATAATTTTTGGGAACAGAGAGACATGCAGATATTTTGAGAGTTACTGGTTCAAATGGTGCTCCTTAAACAAGTGAAAACTAAACATATTGAAAACATCCACAATTCTTTTTTTGTACAAATTGGCAGCATTATTTCACTACGCTCAGGTTTTCAAGAACAGGAAGTGTGACCATCAATTATTCTGAAATGAGAATTTCAAGTATGAATAAATAACCAGATGAACTTCAGTTGATGTAAGAAGATAAAAGGAAACGCAAAAGCAAAATCCAGCATTCTTTTTTTCTTGACGGAAGGCAGTAAAAGTGATTGCTGCATTCATTATTTATTTTATGATGCGCAGGTAAGTATAACTTCCACACGGTAACATGTGGCCCAGTGAGGAAAGGCAGGCCAAAGGACATGCACCAGTCTGCTTCACCAAGAAGCCAGATGATACAGGGGTATCATGGTGAACGGGATCATTTACTATAAACAATATCTGAAGATGACCGTAAGTTTATATTGTTTTGTGTTGACTGAAATAGCTTGTTCTGTCCATGCAGGGGACTCTAATTGGAGTTTGCTATTCAAGACACTAATTTACACACAGGTTGGAAGTGTCAGCAGTACAGCAGAATGACATGATATTTAAATTTACTTACCCTGTAGATTTCTGCTATGCTTAAAGTAAGGCCATTGCTCCAGTGAAAAAGCCCTCAAAGGCCACTTTGGCCACACTAGAGATTGGTTTGTGATTCAGGTTTCTAAACATTTATTTCTGTGCAAATTTTGCCAGAAAGAGGAACTTACTGCTTGTTGTAAAGTTACCCTCCCCAGCCTGGGGAAAGGAGTCTACATCTTGGATGACTTGTAGTACTCCCACAGTCCGCACTGGGGGATCCAGGGCTACAGAGCTCTCGTTCACTGTTATATCGCTGGCTCCTGTTATCTGGTTGGTTGGTGGTCCTCCTATGGACGCTTCCAAGTCTGGAGGTATATCATCCATGCAATCTGCATTTGGCTAATGGGAAGATAAAAAAAAAAAAGCGCTTTTACCCAATATGAGGATTTAATTAATTTACCTGTTCCCACTTCTTTAGAGTTTTTCACTTACTTTCAGTACTGAAAATGATGAATAAACATGCACAGTTTATTTGTTTTCATGTACTTAAAATCTCTTAATACAATCTGTTGGAAGAGAGACCCAAAGCATGCACTGGAAATATTCACTACTAAACTGTGTCACCTACAATCTCTAAATATTCTTATTTATACTTTTAAAAGTGTTTGGGCAAGTGCACATTAAAAAAGTAACTCACTTATTGATATGATCTGCTCAATACAGGCAGATTGCTGAGTCAGATTACAAATGTAAACAGAGACAGCAGCCAGAGGGAAATTATTATCTTTTCCCTAAATATACGTTTTATAGAGCCTATATCAGAGCTTTAAGGAATAAGAATTCAAGGGAACTGCCTGTGGGCGCATCTATGTGTGGGGTGCAAAAATAGAAGCTAAAGCTGTTTATAAGACAAGTCTTTTAACATCAAAAGACCTTTTCCTTTTCTAATGCTATATTTCCTACAAAACAAAATTATGAGAAAAGAAACAAACAAGCAATAACAGGAATTTGAAGAGTATTATTTGAATCATAGTCTTTCTTACTTTGTGATTCAGAGAAACTAAGGATGGAACCCAGTTCTGGGGTATTTAGACACTTCTCCCTTGCACTTACACAGTGAACACACCAACACCTCCAGAACAAGCCAAGCTCTTCAAGTCAAGGGAAGCAATCAGAGGGGGTTGTGGTGCCCACCTTTTGCACTGTGGGCAACTAAATATCCTTAACACCGAGTGTTCACAAACTGCACTGAGACTTCAAGTGGGCACTGCGCAACAAAGAGGATCGTTTGTCCAGAGACACTATGTCCAAGACTAGTTTCAACCCTTGATTTCTCTGGGCCTATTATGAATGCTCCCATTCATACAGCAGTGATTTCTATGGAGCTCCCCATAAACATTGGTGACAAATATAACAGTAAAAAAAGCTCTTTTTCCTCTAAAAGGAAACAGATTCTTGTGCCATTTGCCCATAGAACCAGGTCTAGTTCTCCCCAAGGCATGGAGAAAAATTGTTTGCATAACTATTTCAGGAACTGGGTTTTGAAGTTTTAACATATTATAACAAAAACAAGGTTAATTCAGAAGTAAGGATGCTACGTGTCAGGGTGCAAAGCTTCCAAAATGGCAGAGGGACATAGCAAGGTTGAACTGCAATTACGTAGATACCTTGTTAAGTTAAGAAACATGTGAAGTTAAGTTCCCATTTATCTTTATTGTCCAGCAGTCAGACAGCTAATCTGGATCAGTCACTTAGGTTTCCTCTAACTTCAATGGTTGGAGACAATTCCACTGTGTGATTCATGCCACCATAAGGTAAGTGGTATGAATTGCCCCCTCTGCCTTCCCACTGCTCAGTGCTAAGCAAAGTTGGGGCTTAAGAAGTTAGACTGGAAATCCAGCATCTGGATGGCTGAAGTCAGAGGAGGTGAACTCAACTCTGTGGATCTGATTTTTGCTATGCTTAGCTGTCTCACTTGCTAAGACATTTTTAAAAATCTCACTACCTGCCTATCTCCAACACCAGGCACCTAGAAACTAAGCAAAATATGATACAGCAAAGACTTAAACAGAGGCTTAGCTTTAAGCACAAGAGTAATTCCTTTGAACTTAGGCATAGAAGGTTACCACATGCTTACAATTTTGCAGAACCAGGAATTTAGCATGTTTTCTCTTTTCCCCATACATTCCCTGTTTGATTGTTGCCACTTCATACATATTTTTTTCACAATGAAAAAGGCAGGCATTTTAAACAATCCCCAGGTGACTTGTAGCCACAAACTGAAATTTGGGATAAAAATTAGAATTGTCTTTGTCTGGTTCCAGTCTAATTCACAAGCAGCAAGAGCTCCTCAGAACTGGGATAAAGGCATATATCTGGGATAAAGCTATACCAGGTTTTAATGAAACCTATTGAACCTGTACTTTTCTACGTGAAATACCAATCATCTACCTGTAGGACTTGGATCCAAAATTATTCTTTAGATCTATCACTCTCTCACTCACCCTTAGTTGTTATTAACAAATGCTTTCAGAATTTCATTTTTAATTTAAATTTGGCTTTGATGAAAGTGTATCTTAAAGAATAAAAAAAAGGCCCGTGTTTTCTTTTCTACTCTAGGAAAAAACTGTTTGAAATTTTTTTCAAGGGATCAGTTGTCTGTCCTTTGCTCTGATTCCAGTTTTTCCTAGAATGGGGTTTTATGACTAACTTTTAAACTTTTAAAAATGGGGATTATAATTGAAAGCCAAACCAAACATTAAAGATGCAAAAATAACATTGCTCAACAGAATTAATCCCTTTACTCCTGAATAATTTTAGTTGGACAAAACACCCCCAAACTAAGCAGCATCCTATAAAACTAATGATATGAAATACTGATCGAAAAAAAGACATTATGGCTTTTGCTGTAAGAGTGACCCAGATACATTTGCTAAGTTTAATTATATTGGTTTCACTCATTCCCTGCATGTAAGTGCTTTGAAGGCACAATTCCACTAAAGTCAAGGGAAGGCTTTGTATTGACTTCTGACGGCTTGGCTAAGGCTCTTAGTGAATAGCTTCAAGTCACCCAATCTGCTGCCAAAAATGCAGCTGTCTGCACATCCAGCAGATATTTGCAGAAAAGGGGGAGAAGCAGAGGGAAACTATTTTATGTGATACGATCACTCCAATAGCAATGTAGCTCTTTGAAAGTAAAAGACACTTTCACTGATAAGTCACTTCAAATATTACAGCCAAAAGAGGTATAGTCTGAGCTGAATTCACCAGCAAAGAGACAGTGGAAAAGGTTATGCCAACCGTTTGCTGATAAGATAGTTAGTTGATAATCCTCCGGAGCTGCAGAGAGCCATGGTGAAAAGCAGAGATGCTAGGGTGCTCAGCTACCATGAAAATGAGTGCAGTCATTTTGGTGCCTCATAGCAGCCTGGGGAAGCTGGTTTTAGGGCAGATAATATTTGAAGTCTCTGTTACGAAGTGAATTGAGAGTTTAGGTGTGAACTGAATTGAAACATTTAGATATTTGAGTTTTAACCAGTCATTTCCTGGAAAATCCCGAGTCCTCCTGCTAAATGAAGCACAATATAGCCACAGTCACGCAAGCCAGCCCTTTAATAACAACCAAAGGACAAACATGCAGCTGGCAGGAAAAGAAACCCATATATTAGCCCTGCCTATGGTAAGATATCCTCATTTCTCCCATTGTAACAGCCTGCAAAAGCACTTCTGCAAATTTGCGCTCAAGTCTCCCATCAGAGACTGCTGCCTGCCTAAGGCTGCTTTCCTGTGTGTGGAAACTTCAGTTAAGATGGCTCAGCAAGACTCAAGAATGTGGTTAGGGAATGGCATTTTGCTTTATCCACTCAACAGAAACGTTTGCCACCTCTCACTGAGAAGCCCTAGAGCTTTACAGCTTCTTCCAGAGAAATGTCTTTTCCCACAACAGCCTACTGACATCTGGCTGAGTTACGAGCCTCTGAAAATACCAGTTCATGTGAGCTGATAGAGACTGGTGGCTTATTGGGACTGACAATTACACTCTCCAAAGAGAAGTGGGCTTTGCATGCTGCCTGCAAGCTCATGGTGGCACCAGAAAGCATCCCACAGGACCGATGCCCATGCTGGGCTGCCCTCAACTGGTGCCGGGCAGCACGAAGGGTGAGGATGCACAGAACAGGTCCTGCGAGCTGAGCAGAGAGCATGAGCAGCAACCCCAGAGCAGGAGCTCAAAAGGATAAAGGTTGGGCAGGAGGGGTTATGCAGAGGAGAAGCAGGAAAGGGCATGAGGTAGAAGAGGGGGAGGCAAGGAGTTGAGGTGTATTTTAGAAAGAGAAATACAGAAAAAACAGAGGAAGAGGAGCAGCAGTACAAGAATTTTTAACCCCCAAGCTACCAGATGCTCTTACAGTCCCACTTCCTTTGCTGTCAGCCAGAGGAAAGCCCTGACACAAAGGCTACCATCTGCTCCCAGTTCCCATGGACAACTGTAAGTCAGCTCTCCCTGCATGACCTTAATCGATGATCCTTGCAGGTGGGAGCCAGTATGCTTCCTCCAAATGATGGAGTGGGCTCTTTTCAGTTTGTTGTCTTAGAACAACCTAGGGAAATTTTTACAGGAATTTATACAATAAAATCCTCTAATCAAATTTTGTTAGTGGAACATTAACATCCAAGTGCTTGATTTTTAGTGTTAAGACAGACCAGCACTAAGGCTGATTCGGAAATCTTCATTTGACCCAGATGTTTATGTTGGTTACAGCAGTATCTTTAATTACCTGCCCAGTACAATTATTTCCACAGAAGCTCCATGTGGAAAGCTCTCAGTGAGGGGAGCAGAATGCATCGCCCTTCTGCTACATGATACAGAGAGAACAAGACAGGGAGCTGTGAGAAAAGAAACGATGGCTGAGGAAACTGAATGGCACTTTTAATTATTCCTGGCAATTAGGTTCTATACCTGCCACTATGGAGCTGTTTATACGTAGTAAAAGTGAGTCATGTAAACCAACACCTTTACACATGGCCTCTTGGCCATGTTTTTGCTCCCCTTGATGTACCCAGCCTCAGACAGCCTGCGGACAAGCTTAGCCTTCAGCAGCTGTCAGTGAAGTCAGTGAGAGCCGTATTCTGGATGTAAAGACCGACTGACGGTACTAAACTTTCTGGAAAGATGTTAACAACTCACCGCAGGCCTCCAAAATGTAGGAGGTCTGATTTGGCTATATCCCCTGATTATGAAGCTGGATGAAGAGCATACTAAAGAAATGCTTGGGCAAAAATGGGAACGGACCAATGTGAGAGCAGAAATCCTGTGGTCCTGCATGGTGCAGAAGAAAGCCATGGAACAATATACTGGGTATGAAGAAGAGGTGTCAAAATCCTGGGTAACTGCTCACCGGCAGGCCTGTGAACTGAGACGTGGAACCTGGGAAAAAACTTTTGTATTTAAGCCTAGGCACAGAGATGCTGAATGGCAGAGCCAGCCTTCGTTCCAGCCTTTCCCAACATCTCAAATACTGATTTAACAGGTGTATCAACTTTTAATATTCTAAAGATAATATACATGCTTAGCAGAAAAAATAGGCCAACTGTAATGACATGTTACCCTAACTACAATGCTCTACTTCATTTTGCCCATTCAATATTTTTAGCTGGGATTATATTAGGTTAACATATCTGCCTACTTCAATAAAAACATACTTCATCACTTCCTACGGAACCACTTCTTCAGCAACCTGCTTGGCTTCCTAGTCTCAATGAAAATTAACTGTTGGGGAACGGCTGCATCAGGTCCCCTAATACGTTCGCATGAGCTATTTTACTTTATATAGCTCTTTCATATATGAGCTGGCATGTCACCATCTCTAACTGGGGAGGGTATTTACAGCACCTGTTAACACACCAACCGGTGGTGTTTCAGTATTGAACTTCACTATCACGTGGCAAGCCTTGCATGGTGTGAGAAAGTGACTCACTTCTTCCAGGAGAAGCCCCTGTGGTTAGGAAACTGGATGGCAGACAGGACGTGCACTATCTGAATGTAAACATGCAACCTAAAAAGATCAATTGCTTTGGCAATTCTAACCGCATCTGAATGTTCCAAATAACAAAGAGCTTAACAATTTATTGTATGTCATGTGGTCTGCCGCATGCTTAGTTACTGGGAGAAACGTTCCCTAACTGGAATTAGGAGTACGGAGCTTGCTACAGATAGACTTTAAGAGAAATCTGACAGAAAAAAGATTTGGCTCCCCAGAATGAGCCACTAGCTGTCCTCGACTAGTATAGCAGGGAAAATTTCATTTTGCAGACCTTCTGCTTTGAGATTTGAACTGAGAGCATGATTAAAAAAATAAATCCAGTCCTGAATTAAAACACAAACAAAAGCTATGTGAAAGAATCTAGAAATCCACCAAAACACCAGTAAACGATCCTCTGCTTCACAAAGCAGGCAACACACAAGTCCCAACACCCAACCGACCCCCATACACACACTCTTCCTTGCTAATAAAAGTGGGGTGCAAGGAGAGAGGTAGAGTGAGACATTTCAGCTTGTAGTCCCCTTAATAAATCAGTAACATGGCAAGAAGAGTAGGATGGGAACAGACTGGCAAAGGGATAGGGATATACCCAAGTAGCTGGTGTTTCCCTTCTGCCCCGACCGGCTGCTCTGCGACATGCTTACCGGGATCCCTAGAGCTTTTAGAATATTCATTTTACACATCGGGCAGGTACGATGGTCTAGCAGCCAAGGATCTACACAGGACTTGTGGAAAAGATGCCTGCAATGAAAACCAGGACATTTTAATTCAAATCCACCACAGCACAATTTACCACTTAATACCAGACACTTCTGAATTCAGTAAAATTAGAGTATTTCAAATGGTGTGGTTTGTGACCTCTGCAAGGACTCCAAAACTATACCCTGTGCACACAAGACTAAAATTATTTCTGCAGCATCTCAAGCACGTGTGCACAGTGTTGCTCACCTGCGTTTGGAAAAGAAAACATATACATAATTAGAGAATTATGAAAATTACACAAAAATGCATCAGCAAAACTCATACTCTTTAAATGTTAAAGGCTGTCAGTAAACAAAACCTGCTTGCTGGTAAAGATAAAAATCACATTAGTGTTTCTTGATGGTTCTACAAACAAACCTGATTACACATAATTTAAATGCAAAGCCATCAGGGGTCTGGTATTCTTTAGGATGCAGGCATAAAGAAATAAAATTAATTTTAAAAAAAAGGCTACTTTTCATTTAAATGTAAAAAACAGGATGATGCTTTTTAAAACATTCTCCCTGACTTTCCTGCTCTTTAGAAGTTGCCCATCAGAGTGAGCTCCTAAACAATTTCAGCCCTGAAGGGGTTATAGCTAATCCTGTGCTTGGTCTAGTGACTACCTGAGCCCTGTGGCTGCTGGGGGCCACTTTTCTTAAACATTATCCAGGTGGAGGAACTGAAAGTTCGTTGTCTGGCTTCGCCTGACACAAACTGAGATTCAGTACAGAGGTATTTGGCGCAGGTACCTGACTGAGAGAGTCTATTTTCTCTTGCAAGCATATTCTGTTACCCTGTGGTTGCAGAAAACAAATGTGATAAAACGCAGTAATGTGGGCTTGGGATTTAAGAAATGCTCTTGAGTAGGCCAAGTAGAGGAGTCGGGGCTCAGCCCACGGCAGTGAAATTTGTACAGCTCCACTCCTTCTGAAGAAAAGGGGGAAAGTTTCCTACCATGCACATAGCCTCAGGAATCACACTGGCATGTAGGAAATTGAAAATTGACTTGCCTTTCTAAAAATCTGTTTTAATCAATTAATTGAAGAGAACGGAATAGTACAGTTGGAAGGGACCTTAGTCCAACTGCCTAACATAACCTAATAATAACAATAACAATAATAATAATAATAGAATCTTTGGGTTGGAAAGGACCTTTAAGGTCATCTAGTCCAACCCCCCTGCAATGAGCAGGGACATCTTAATAACTTAAGAAAAATTGAAAGAGGGTATTTTATTCCGAAATATGAGGCTCGATACACATACACAATCTTGGTCCAGAATGTGTAAACTAAGACTAATTAGCTTGTTTTGAAACACCATATAGATCAGCTCTAAATTTCCTTTCTAAGGCTTGCAACAGGTGTCCCACATTTTATTTGGCAGAGCCTGAAAGTCACGTTTCAGTCTGCTTGAACTTTTACATTTGAGCAGTCCCCAGCCTGTGTTTCCCTGTGCTGCCTCTGCCCCGTGTGCGTCGCTCATACAACACAGCCATATGAACCCACCAGGTAACCGCAGGTGGACACAGCTCACAGCTGCCCAAGGCTCTGTCGGGAGCAGGGCACATACCAGCCTCCACGTGGAAATGCAATCTCTGAGAAAGCCGGCACGACTTAACGCATCAAATAATTTTAAATATTTAAGTGGCACATATTCAGCTGAATGGGTCGGCCGCTGTATCGTGTCGTGGGCTCTCTCATACAACAAAATACACACAGCTTTGCAATTTAATGGAAGATATTGAGGTGCATTTTCACCAGTATCGATTTGCAACCCTGGATCTTATTAACACAATACTGGCCGACATACTAGCTGGCTGGCTTACTAGCTGGCTTCAGTCCTAAATAACACTAGACATTCAAAGCTAAAACTGTGTGAAATCTCAGAATCGTATTCTTTTCACTGCGCTTTTTTTTTCTCACTGCTTCTAGAAGAAACAGGTCCTTTGTGAAACAAAGCTACGTGGCAAATTATCGCATTCCTGTACTTGGTCTGACTTCACACAACTATGGGAAAGGGCAAATTTGTTCTTGGAAGTTCAACCTAGTCTAATTATATCAGTTGGCTGCAATACCAAACTTTTGTCAAACCTCATCTGATCCTGTATGTCAACATGATTAACACAAATGAAGTATCGTAATACTTGAAGTTTAAACCACTACTTTGCTAAGGCTGCTAAAGTTCACAAGCCTCCTCCCAAACAAGACTTGCTTTACTGGGTAAAAACACAATGCACCAAATTTCAGTCTCTGTCCTGCATAACTCTTCCTTCCTTTTATCTCAGGAGGGACATATTCAGTACATCATCAGGTAAGCATTCTGAATAGCTGAAAGCATATACAGTCCTTAGGCATGTGTAATTTTACATTTAGAAGTCTAACCAACAGAATTCCTTGGGTGTGTTAATTCATGGAGGCTACTGAATGTCAATGTCTTGCTTTTCAGCTATTTGAGATAACTGAAATTCTTGATAGTGATTGGTTTTCTTTAATTATATCCTCACATTCATAAACAAGTATGTTCAACTGCAAACATCTGATGCACATTTGTGCCAAAATAATCATTACATTTCCAAAATCTGAGATATTTATTATTCGTTTGAAAAAAAAAATCAGATTTCCAAAATCTGTTTTGGATAAAAAAAATACGTAACTTCTATGAAGCCATTTTCCCATAGACTAGAAAGTCTCCTTTTGTTTTCAAGTTCAAGCTTTGCAAGCCTCAGTCAAACTGTGGTTCATATTACAGCATTTCATAATATCTGTTAATTACCAAACGCTTGGAACTTTCATGCCTTAAAGACTTTAAAAACCTGAAGTTTAGTGTTCCTAAAGTTAGCTTCAAAAAACAATTATTCTAAAAGAAATCATACCAATGCAGAGTAATTTAAATAAATGACAGATCATGTCACTTTGCATTTCTCAATACTACACTAGCACAGTGTATTATGTCTCTATTAATTTCAGATATAATATGTACAACAGAACGTACTTGATTATTTGACAGATATCTACAGAAAAATGGAATGTTAATTGAAATCAGATAAAGATTTGCATTTTAAAATTTTTATACTACATTATATAATTAGAGCGCTCATAATATCTATTTTTGAACACAGAAACATTTGTGCACAGAAGTGAGGTGGCAGGCTTTGCAGATTTGCATTTGAAAATTTATTTTATTTGTTATTAGCTACAGCACTATATAAATGCTTATGGCTTTCAACAAATCGTCAATTGTTTGATATCGTGATAAGTTTATCATCCAAATCAGGCAAAATAAGGGTCAGCACAAAGACGAGAGCGCAACTGTCATATGGTAGGACAAAGATGTAAAAAAATGTAAAAAGATCAACTGCAATAAAAACCCCTCTCCCTCTGTAGTTCTGACTGATGCAACTTTTAAAAGGAATGAGAGGGTAGAGGCATCATGGATGAGTTCAGAAGTAATGACCCATACAAGGAGACAGTAAGAGAGATGTTTCAAGGACAGGCTCAGGACATGGCTTTGACAATCGAAGTCAGAGCTAGAAAAAATAAGGGTTTTGTTTGTTGTGTGCAACCACATGCATTGCAAAACTATCTTGATTCAGATGGGTTAAAAAGTTTCTCCAAAGAACTGTAATTGATTAGCTGAAAGAGAGGAAGGGGAAAGGAGAGGAGATGTCGTAACAATCCTCATACAAAACAAAAGCTTCCATAAGGAGAAAGGAAACAACTGTTCTTCACCTCTCATAGGGATAAGAGGCACAAGGATTTGTTTAAATTGCAGCGAGTGAGATCCAGGTTACACAACAGGAAAATCTTCACCACAGTCAGGGCAGCGAAGCACTTCAATAAACTATCAGGGGAATTTGCAGAGTCTTCATCCCAGGAGACTGCAGCATGTTGGAAAAAACTCCCAAGAACGACACGTGCACGGCCAGTGCCCCTGTGCTGTTCCAGAAGTGGTGGCCTCCTGGGATCCCTCCTGCACTCTTCTGTGACTCTGTGACTGCACGTGGCTGTGTAAAGCTCACAGAGCACCAAGAAAGAAAAAGAACCTCAAAATCCCAGAGCATTTCATTTACTATTATCTAAACAGCGCTTCATATTTTTTAACTGGAAATTACTTTTAAACATACAAGAAAAAAATTTTCATTTCAAGCTTAACCCAAAATGATAATAATTTGATTGTTGTAAAGCTATCATAAAGCTTTCAGCTTGCCAAGAATTTTGAGAAGCTCTTTTTCCAGGTTAAGGGAAAACTCCTCCTAGTCTTTCTACTCCTAGTCCCAACTTTCCAAACTGCATGCAAACAAACCTAGCAGTCTAGGTTTCTTTTCTAGCAGTCTTTCCTTTTCTCAGAAGAAAAGCGTGAGCTAAGAGAAAAGGAGGCAAAAGCAGAAAAAGAGGTACATCTCTGGGGGCCCTGAGTAAGACCATCAGTCGCCTGGATTAGACATAGAGTTGAGACAGAGGACTGAGAAGGATTTTGGTGAGAGACTGAGCAGCATTGTAGTATCCAACGAGAAGGTCTGGGCTTTCAGAGGTGCATGTACATTATTATTTGTTTATTTTTGAGGAAGAAGGTGATGATGAGGGTAAGTGAGAGGAAGGAATCAAAGGGAATGTGTGTGATGAAATAATTTTCATGGAAAGCTAATAAAAAGAGAAAGGAGGAGTGAAGCAGTCTCTGAAATCATAGTTGTTCCTGGAGTGAAGGCTCAGGGGAAGGGAAAGCGCTGGAATGGGGTCAGAGAGCACGTTTATTGGTGACAGAAATGAAACAACCAAAAAAAGAGGTTATGAAGAACTCAGTAGACATGAGGTTGAAAGAATTGTCTTGACTCTCTGGAAGTTTAGTCAAGTTAGTAAAGTTTAGTAAAAGGCACACGCTGGGAGCAGCAGCACCAGTAACTTCTCCAAAGACAGAGCAGAAAAGACAGAGGTGTTTTGAAGCCACAGATGGAGGACAAGCAGAAGGAACCAGGGCTATGACAAGAGATGTCACTCTGGGAACAATGAACTTGGTTACATTTGAGGTTGTGTCAGTGCCCTCAAAGATAACTTCAGTGATGCTTGCTACCATTAAACATAAAACCAGCTGCAAGACAACACTTTTTTTTTTTTAATCAAGTGTCAGTCCTTATTTATTTAATACTTTCTGTAGAGTGAAGTTTATTAATACAGTCAGTTGTGGGAGCTGGCTAAAGACGACAGAGAAGAAGCACTAGTTAACTGGAATTCTCTTAGCTCTCCAGAGTGGGATACACAACAAGCTATCCCAGTGCCTGCTCTCTGCCAACAGAAAAGAGAGGACATGTGGGAAAACAGAGCAAGTGTTAGTAAACATGTATCTATATGACTTTAGAGCTCATCCACTGCAATATTGTCTGGTGGATTTTTGGTACCAATTTCTTAAGAGATTCAGGCTCCACCAGCCTTAAAAAGAAATCTCAAGATATGTAGGGCTTTTTATAAAGAGTGTGCCTGCTAGCAGTGGTTTTCCCAGTACTGTCTGCAGTACAAAGCAGCATCTTTCATGTGCGGCTCTTGGGGCATATTTGGCTTTGCAGGTAAAAAGTCCTACATCATAAGCACCTCCTGGATAGAAACACTAAGGTCAGCCAGCACTGGTGTCATATGGTGCTGGCTTCTGTAAGGCTTGCTGAAATGCCAGCCTCTTATTAAACAGCAGTCTAATGAGGTTCCCACACTAGAAACTGCACACAGTTTAACTGAGGATGCTGGAGGAATAAACCTACTGAGTCTGTAGGTCTTTATCAAGATATAACACTCTCCTACTCACTTAAGACAGAAATTAATCCACCTTTTTTTTTTTTTTTTTTTTTTCTTGATGCGAGACAAGACTGACAACTGCAGAAAGAATCATGACTACCATTTCCTGTTTTGGAAGTCCAAACCCATGCCTATGTGTAAAATACTGCCCTCACAATTTGTGTAGCAGGGAAGCCAGGGTTTGTGAAGTAGCTGCTGGAAAAAGATATTTGAGTTTTTATAATTCAAAACTGCTGAGGCTCAAACTGTTAGTATTTTACAAGACAGTTCTGCTGCTGCTACCCTTTTAGCATGAGTCATTTTCTAGGCGACCTTTTAAGTCAGCCAAGAACTGAACATCACCTGTTAACTATGCGTTTCCTATTCACTCTGCTTGACTCAACACTGTGAATGACAAAGTCTGACTGGAGCCTCACTGAATTATGAGGCGAGACCTAAGTGAAAGATAGAGCTTAGAAATATTTTTTGCTGTTGTATAACTGCCTCCCAAAACTGCCTGTCTCTATCATGCAAAATTTCCAAGCTTTATTATGCTTCTATGAAAACAAGCTTTGTCAAACCAAGGTCCATATTTTCTGATAATTTTTCATTTTTCTGTATTTCTGCTTCATGAAGTGATGAATTTGTGTCCGTTCATAGGAAAAAAAAAAAGAGTTCACATGCAATTTGTCATTGTGGGGGATTTACAGTAGGTCAAATTTATGATTAATCTGTTGCTTTTTGTTTGCCATTTAGTGATAGCAGTAAACAGATTTAATGAGTCACATGAACAGAAATGGACAGCTTGTAACATTCAAATATCTACTAGGGAACAACACAGCAGGAAAAGAAACAAATATTTCAGTTTCTCAAGCCAGTGAACATGTCTGGAGAAGAAACTCTATTAAAAAAATCATCTCTGCTCTGTATGTACAGCACTTGAGATTACTACTTCTAGGGAACTCAAAGACTTGCTCTTGCTCTCCTAGGGGAACCACTGTTCCTAGGAAATTTCCTAAGAGATTGATTTCCTTAGAGAAATCCTTCATTAGCTAACACTTCACAGATGACAATACAATAGCACAGGGAGATGAATACAGCTGTTATAGGTGGCAAGAGCCTGTGCTCCTGTGTCACATCACTGCGAGTGTACGTGCTGCGCAGGGCACGTTCACATGACGGGAAGAATAGAAAGAACAAGCCCAAAAGCTCTTCTTGTCACCTCCATGTCCCACACACCTGAGAATATTTTCACGGCAGCAATAGATAACGTGGTCTTTATCACATTCCCTTTATGCTTTACTGTTTCTACTCAGCATATCTCCTTTTACGGTTGGTTGGGTTTTTTTGATAGAAGTCATCCCTTTCTCAGCATCTGGACATGGCCCAGGACAGCAAAAGAAGTAGCTCTCTGGGGAGCAGGAGCCTGCTCTATCCCTGGCTTCTGTGCCCAGGGTTCACCTTGAAGTCAGGGGCAAATTCTTCTAAGGCATTTATTCTGGACTGATATAAAAAGAGTGAGGAAAACTGAGAAATCAAAACTTTTAGGTTAAAAATACTACTGAAGACTTTGTAATAGGTCCAGATCAGACAAAATTTCTGACTATCATGCTAAACTCAGGTTCTTGCCACCATTAATACTACTTTCTACTATTTACTACTTCAAGTTGAATAAAGAGGCATTTCAGATACCTTTACCAACAGACTTTGAATAATCAAAATTATAAACTCACTCTTCCCTCCCCAAGCTCTCAGGCAATCTCACCAGCAAGAGCCTGTCTTGAAGTAGAGAGACTATGAGAGCTAAAAGCACCTTCAACCTTCAACTTACCTGCAAGGCAAAATTCTGACAACATCATTGGGCTTATAGCCTTCAATACAAACAGCACAGTTATCAAAGTCTGGCTCAGTTTCCTAAAGGAAAGAGAACATTAATCATTTTCATTTTTTGATTTTGTCAGCTAATCTCTTCATACAAGAGCCTATCTGACAAAGTGAAACAGACACTGACAAGCAAGTCAGATTTTCCAACATGTTTCCAGTTGGAAAGTTGCCCTGGGAAGCATGCAGATTTAATTAGCATGTTTTAACTTTCTGGATTTTCTGCATCTTCACAGAATCACCACCTTCTCTCGCTACTCCATCCCATCTGTACATTGCTTACCAGTATTCTTTCCCTGCCTGAAGGACACACAGTAGCTAAATAAGCAATTGCCATTTCTGTTCTGTCTCATTGTCCCAGTGGTCTGAAGGAATCCTCAGCACAGAGTTTCATTTGGCAATGAGCAATTTGAAAAATTACCTTATCACCTTTCCTGATTGTTCTGACTTGCAGCTTGCTGATTGCTTTCTTTGCAGCATCTCCAAGCCGGCGCTGTAATACAAAATTTGCTCTTAAGCATTTCTTCATGCAGAAATCATCACCTTTTCTCCCTAGGCTTCTTAATAATCTGAAGTGACTGTACATGAAACAGGACATTTCTGTGTAAATATAAACAGATGAGGTCAGTCATGCTGTTATTCACAATAAGGGCACAGGAGGTAGTCTAAGCTTGCTGGTAACCCATGGCCGATGAAGTAAAGCTACTCTAATGGAGTTCCAGTGGAGAATGCATGTGACTCCATCTTCACTATTCCAGTGAGTAGCAATACATGTAAAAAGTCAACTATTTAGGCATCTTACTTTTTCGCTCTCTGTTTTTAATAACACTTGTAAAAAATACATTATTAAATGAGGCCTGGGCTAATGAAGCAGAGTGAACGTTGGACTTAAGATTCAGAAGGTCTTTATTCTTACGCTGTTCCAGAACAAGTTCATGATCTTCAGCAAGATGCAAGTGCTGAAAGTAAGCTGTTAATTTGTTAACCACAAAAAATATGAATGATCTTCTCTGCTGTTCTCTTTTCCTGCAACAGAGTTGCCTACTTTATAGGAGCAATGCCAGGTATTAAAATGAGGCGAAAGCATCTGCAGTTTCTTACAAGTAAAGCACTATATAGTCCTGCAGTAACATCCTATCCATACATAACCATTTGCTTGTTCGTTGCCTTGCTGTCTTTCCCTCCAGTGGACCATGAATTGCTTACCACGTGATGTTTCTGACTATTCTCCCATATTTCCAAAACACTGTTACTGTGCTGGCAGGGTCACAGCCACTCAGGATTAAAGTATGTAATAACAACCTGATGCAAAACACCCTGCTCTCAAACGCTGAAGATGGAGATGCCTGTCTCTTGTAAGAGGCTGAGAACATTATGGGGCAGTTCAGACAATCACTGCTCAGCAGAGCTACCTCTGCACCCTGTGCTATTGAGCCTGTATCAGTGCTCAAAGGACCTGGGGGCTCACTTGTGCTAACCCAATGACGAGTCGATCTGGAGACAGACTCACAGGCTGGAAAGGTCTTTGAGAGTCATGTACTCCCACCCCCTGCTCAAGGCTGGGTCAACTTCAAAGTCAGAGCTCTGTCCAGTAAAGTTTTGAATATCTCCAGGAAGGGAGATTTCACAACCTCCGTGGATAATTTGTTCCAGCGCTCAACCACTCTCTCAGTCTTTTTTTTTTTTTTTTTTGAAACATACAAATGGAATTTCCCTTGTAATTTGTGACCATTACCCTTGTCCTTTCTCTGGCCACTCCGAGAAGAGTCTGACTCTGCCTCCTTTCCCAACCACCCGTTATGCAGCTGAAGGCTGCAGGCAGAGGCCTTCCTCCTCCTCTGCTCTCCTCCTGGCTCAGCAAGCCGAGCTGCCTCTGCCTCTTCTCAGACATCATGTTCTCCTGTCCCCAGACCATACTGGTGACCCTCCTTGGAGTCTCTCCAGTTTTTTCATGCCTTTCTCGTACAGTTTCATGCAGCAACACCTACTCCGATGTTTTCTTGTCAGTTTTATAACAGTTCATGAAACAGTGCATCCCAGTTTGCCACCAATAAGTGACTTAAACTCTCCTCTTCACCTCCCCTCCCCATCCATGTTTCCAGCCATGTATTGTTAGATAGGAGGGAGACTTAGGAGCTTGGTGACTCAGAAGCCGTTCAACTTTTCAGGCTGGGAACACCGCCTGTGCCTGAGTTCAGAGGGGCCTGTCAGCGGGAAGGGTTTCCAGCTGGAGGGGGTGAGAGCATGAAACCAAAAATGGAAGGAAGCTGGATGTAGTTTGTAAATTGAGACCTAATCACCATACAGATATGATTAATAAATTACCACTTTGTTCTTCAGATTCAATTAAAATCACTGAATTAAATTTGGAGAGTAGGCTTATTGGATTGCAAAGACATGGGAGACTAACAAAACGCATGCGATACTGAAAGCAGAGAGCAATTTCAGATCTAGCTGAAGAGGTGAAAACGATCTTGGCTATCATATGAGATTTACATATGAGCTTTCCAGCATAGCTATTACATGTGAGGGAGTATGTTGTAGTTATACAACATCTTTTCTGTGGTACATTTTCCTCACAGTCTCCCTTAAATAATGGGATCAGTGGAGAGTTGGAAACATTTCTTGCCAGCTATTTGTTTCTTTAATGTAAATCAAAGACAGACTGATAACATAAAGCAAGACAAGAGCCATTATGTCCTGCTTCAGGAATTGCTTGTGATTCCTTTTCATCATTATTATTACTTAAACTAATGAAATGTCTCAGTTCTTCTTTGCATGTTCTTCAAGGGGAAAGGACAAGATTAAAGACTCATGTACATCTTTGATCTGCTTGTTTTCATGTTTGTTTTCTCTTATCTATCTTAAATAGACAAGTTCATTACTTATATGCAAATGAGAATAATTTAGTTTTTGAAAGAACAGGAATATCTTGGAATAAAGTCATACTTTCAAAGGATTCTTCCATTTGAACAAAAGGCATGCTATCACTAACCAATGATTTCCCCTAAAAGATAAGAGGCATTACAATAGTTTAAGAGTTTAAAGTGAGGCTTAGAGATTTACAACCATAAATCTCATGATTTCATTAGCAAGACTGCAACATTCAGTACTGGACTAGAAGGACTTAAGTGTATCAGATGCAATGGTCTTGTGGAGATGGTGATACAAGTTAAAAAGAGGAAGTAAACGACTGTAGATGCTGTGAAAGAGAAATTATGGTAAGTGCTTCTCTCCTAATGGCCTTACTAAACTGTCACCTTTGCAGGGAGGAGATCGCCTTGTGCCTTGCACAGAATGAAGCGCACCATCAGGATGAGATATCAGACACACCTTCTGTACGACAGATAAAGTTTGCAGACTCCATCATGGGAAGCATCTTCCCAAGACTACTTCAAAGATTAACGTCTCTGTTCAATGGCCCAAAACTCTCATCCAAAGCCACAGCCAGCAGTCCTCCTTCTCAGATAATTGCTTGACCCTCCACATGCTGCCAGTCACATACTAAAGTAGATCCTTCACTGGAGATTAACTCAGGACACACAGTACCCTCCTCAGCCCCTGTGCAATCACTGCCTGCTGTGGCTTTCGCCATCCTGCAAAATTCATGGAGCCCACCTGGTGTCAAAATGACTTTACAGAAAACTTCTTAACAAGAAACCAATGGGAAGAAATTACATGTAAGAAATAAGGTCAACAGGTCTAGCACTTAAACATCATCCCCTGACCATCTTCCTATCTCACGTCTCACAGACGACAAAGAGAACTCTAGTATTACTGCTGAAATATGAAATCTGACACACTGACAGAGTTAGTTTTGTTTTTTTTTTAAGCCCGTGTCCTGGCTGTTACAGGGCTGAGACAACAGGTCACGTTTTGCTGAATTATCTCCAGGACTTAACTTGTCGTGTAATTCCAAACTGCTTCCAATTAGCTCTGCAACTTGATGTCTCTTGGTACAAACAATTCCCACATTCTTTCACAGAGAAACTCTGTTCAGGAGGGCTCCAGGAACAAGCTGCTGAGGAAGCAGATTGCCTATGCTTTCCTTATACAAATTTATCCTCTTCATATCAAAAAAGGGAGTATCATCAGGGCAACCACCTACTTCCTGGACACCTTGTTAGGTGGGAAAAAAAGAGGAGGCCTTGGATTTTCATCCATGTGAATATTACTACCTATCTTCTACTTCCACATATACCGTACAGTCTCCTGTGCTAGAGATACTCTTAAAAATTAAATGTATTAAAGCCAAAATTGAAATCTAACCATATTTGTAGCTGACACCCTGGCTGCAGGTGCACAAGCCCATAATGGAGAACAGTTTTGCGCTCTACTGCATTAATTGCCAGCCAAGTTGGGACGAACAGACCAGGGCATTCAGCGAGAATCCTTGAAGTCCTGATTCTCTGCTCATCAAAATCAGGAACCTAACTGGTATGAGCTGTGTCTTCCTTCTGGCACATGAACCTGGATTTTGCACACGTGGTGAGGAAGAGTGGTGGCTGAAGATATACATACTGTATGTCCAGGTTCCATCTCACTGGGGAGTCACAGGAAATGATTCCAGTAGATTCTTCAGTCTTTCTAGCTGCCTCTCTCACTAGCTGGACTCGTTGCTTTCTTGATGGATAATTATATTGGTTCCTTTTGGGTTTATTGCTTGATCAGCAACTTAAGTGGTGTGCAAGAAGGGAAACGGACCTGGAAAGGAGGGTCACTATACAAAAGAGGACAAGGAGTCAAAGGTGGTTATGAGGCTGGACAAAAGGACACACGATGTTTTTTATGAAAGGAAGAAATAGTTGCAATGGGTCAGCTTGGAAGAGGCAAAATGGAAGATGACTTAGGGAGACCCGGAGTAATCAAGGAAAGATGTTCAGAAATGTTGCTGTCATGTACCAGTGCAACATCCCTCCTGCTTGGAGATAATGGCTTTGTCTGCTAATCATATTTTGCAGTCAGCCACATTGCCCCATTCCCTCACATTGTCCCATTCCCTCCCACAGTGCCCAAACTACCAATCCAGAGGAGGCTGAACTGCTCCTGGTAGCTGCCGGTACCAGCCAAACCTAGGAAGTACATGCATGACAGAGGTTAACAAAGAGGAGGCATAGGTTCTTATTCAACACTGAAAACATAGGTCCTCACAAGATCTTCTTTAAAAAAATGTGGGATTTTAAATCATTCAGACGTCAAAATGAATTTAAGCTTTTTATTTTTTTTTTAATTTTAAATGAAGTCTAATAAATGAGTCACAATTTTTTGCACTTTCAGAATAGGGCAGTCAGTCTGCATAGTTAGATGATAATGCATTGTGGGGTAGGAAATGATAGCACAACTTTCTCTGAATAGTCCAGCTGGCTCACCCTTCATCTGATGCTCTGTATATCCAAACATTTCAACCTTTGGACAAACTTCAGCCTGAGTATATCAAATACAAACAGAAGGAAGCATCTTTCCTAAAGTTGGCCAGCAATGAAGGTGCTTACAACACATGCAAGGCTTTCCAACAAGTAAGCACAATACCTTCATACAGACACATGAAAGTTATAATGGCAAAAGATTTTGAGCACAATGACAGAAGAATCTTGCTCCAGCAAAGCAACACAGTTTTTCTTGCATATATCTGAATATCCAAGATATTACCATAAAAGTTTGTGATCCCATCCTTTTGCTACAAGAAAATGTGTCAAAGAAAAAAAAAAAGCAGAAATTTAGAGGAACAGAGAGGAACCCTCATGGAAAGGGCACGACCAAGATGAGCTCTTCTGAACTACCTACATCATTATATTCCATAGCCAGGACTAAAAGAAAAAACAACCAAACCACAGCGACTCATTAAAACAATTGTCTGCACATCGCTACCATTTTTCATATGAAAAGAGCTAATAAAGAGATTAGAGAAGATGTCAGGCAAAACTGGATGAAGAAAGTACATGAAGAAATTCTAGTTCGCCCCATGTCATTACTACAGCTTCAGCAAAAAATTAATAATACATAATTGCTTAGGAGGCATGCTTTCTTATTCTACTGAAGAACAGAACTAGTATAATAAGAAAGTTATTAAAACCTCTGCACAGGACAACTGCTTGTGCACACATTAGTCTCGTTCAAACTTTGGAAAGAAAATACGGAAAAGGAAATCTGCTTGAACATATAAACCTATCAGTTCCAAACTATAGCATATTACCCGAATGAGCTTCTTTCTTTGTTGACTTTCATGTTTATGTATGTCTATTTACATTGCTAAGCTGCCTGTATAATTACTTGATTGAAAGCACACTTACGGTACTCACATACGTAAATTAGGCACACGTGCTTTTGCAGCCAAAGCATCTATAAATTATCACAGCCGTTACAGTCACAGTGAATCTGCTGCCAGTCATGTTCAAATTCCAGCTGGGATAGTCTCATTCTTGCTATCCAAAATTTCATACTGTATATTTAAAAGGAAAATATATTCTTTCCGTCTGTAAATACAGAGCAGCTGCTCTCTATGTCAGAGGATGCCTGAATTTCAATGGGGGAGGGTGAGGGATCCCTATACATTAATGTATACGTTACAGAGTGTGTGGCAGTACTTTTCTCTATAAGATCATTATTAACACTCTCAGTTTTACTTTTTCTGCAGAGCAAGCAAGGCAACTCTCCCGCTGCCCCAACAGCAATTTATTAAGGGTCCAGAAACATCTCGGAATTACAGTGCATTTTTTTCCCTGAAGTAAAATGGTTTTCTCCTCAGATTTCATATATTGATAACATTTTCTACTGTACCATTAGAATGAAATGTAAAAGTCTCAGCTTCATAGTTCTGCTGATGCTGAGATAGTTGCATCCAGACAAGAAAAGATTAAATTTATTATTATCCTTGCTATTATTATTCAATGCTGAACTACCATAAAGACGCACAGTGCTTTATAAATCCAGACCTAGGGCTCATTCCCACTGCTGCTGACTTCTTTCCAGCTCTATAGGTTTTGTATCTCTTTCAGGGGGTTTGGGACAAGATGACAAAACCAAACGCAATGGTCTGATAATATTGGTGGGTATCACTACAGCACTTACATTTTCAGTGATCATTGTCAAACACAGGGACGTGTTTGCCTTTCAAGCGCAGGACCCTTCTAAAGAAATACTAAAATGAGAACACTTTTTTTTTTTCTTTCTTATTGCGAACCCTTGTTTCACACACAGACATTCATATACCTTGCTATATTTTAGTCATCATTTTGATCTCAAGGGTCGTTAGTTATATACATTTCTGTGTCACTTGGCTAGATGTACCAAGGCAGTCTTTTCACTAATAAACATTATGAACTTTCTGTCTGTTTCTTGTGTGTTTTGCATGGGAGAAAAACCCCATAAAATAAATACACTATATTTATTAATTTCTTTTTTCCTGAATCCTATCTATATTGGGAAAAGCCAAGACATGAGGCAAACACAAGCATTTTTATCTCCCCATTCTTTCAATTTTCTTTTTTTTTTTTTTTGTTTTTTTTGTTTTTTTTGTTTTGGTTTGTAATTTTTACCACACATTTACAATTTCCTCAACTTTTAAGCTGAATCTCATGGTGATTTTTTGGAAGCACAAACAGCCATTCCAGCACTGCTCACCTGATTTCTGTCTCTGGCATTTGCGTAGCGGAATCGCTGGATATAATAGAAGACAAGCCACGCCAGCGAGATGATCATCAGCACAATGAAGGAGATGGAGACGAACACCACAGAAGTCCGGCTGACATACTTCTGCAAGTTGCGTGTCCCGATGGTTATGTACATCATCACAGTAATGTTCCTCTCCAGAAGGCTCACTATCTCTTTTCCTTTGGGTTCAGGAATCATTATTGCTACAACATCTTCTAGGCCTATGAGACAGAAGAGAGAGAAAAGAAACCTTAGGTAAAACAAGTGACAAAACAAGGCAAAACAGTAACAAAAAAGTTCCCCGTTCTCCTGCTCACCAGGAAATAAGTCAGATGGATCTGGTGAAGGTTTCACCTGGAACCGGTTACACAGTGCGTTTCTATGAACTAGTTTTGGTGAGGTATGTAAAATGTATTTCATGGGTTGACATAAGCACAGATTTCCAGCACTATTCTAGACAATATTGCTGTAAGCACTGCAGAAAGGGAGACACGCTGCAGCCAGCATCTTTCGTCCAACACTCCATATACATTTATCATAGCCCATTTTGCAGGGTCAAGAGTCTGTCAGAGAAGCCCCCCACCCCCAAACTCCACATTCAGATCAAAAATACTTTCAATCACAGATCCCCACCTGGTGTCATAACCTGAACGCACCAAAGCATCATGCCCTCACCTGGGGCTGGCAATAGGAAAAGCCTGTGGGGACAAGAGCAGCTCAACACGTTCCCAGCTCACCCGCTGCCTGGTGCTGCCGCAGGCTCCCCACAGTCCGAGCCCAGGCAGAGGTTTGGGAGCCCTGCTGGGAGCTGGACTCACCGACTGATGCAAGTTTAAAGTCAAGAGCTCTGTTTTATTCCACAAAGCGCGCTACCACAGCCCAGATCAGCCCCTGACACAGTCTGCAGCATGGCCCCAGGAGGACACGAGTCAGCACCGCCAAGGCGGCAAAGTGATGTCTACTAATGGGATGGGGCAGGGACTTCCTACAGTCCTGTCAATCTTTCTGAAGCCATGGCCCTGTGAAATGGACCCTCCAAAGATCTATCAAGCCTTGACTCTGCACCACCTTTCCTTTCTGTACAGTGCTGTTTCATTTTACTTGCATCACACGCTGCTGAAACAGTTTTCCTTCCATAATTTTATGTCCCCTAGGGACATGACAAATATAGTCTGAAACTATCTGGGACTGGGCAGTTTGTTAAATGCCTTTTCTGGCTTTATAAACATACTATAACTCCTTTATGGTTTAATATTAGGGATATTCTGTTCTTCCACTTCACAAAACAAGTACATAGACAATTTTTACACGAAATCCTGAACTGTACTAAGTGGCTAAGGACAAACAAGATATATTTTAATGTAGAAACGTGCTAGAAACAACAGCACATGAAATGATCACAAATGGGCATTTAGAAAGAAAGGTACAAACTGGGGATGTCTGAAGTCAGAGAGACGATGCTGGGGTAGGGTATCAGAATTTCAGCTGAAATCCCAGGAAATCAGCCCACATGTCGTTAACCCCACGACTACCTGTATTTTTACTGTGGCAGGAGGACAAAGTACTGCCTGCCTTGGGGCATTTGTGGAGGTGGGAAAGGATCACTTGGCTGCAGATAGAGGCAACTTGTGTTTCCAACAGCATCCTCCTACAAGCTGATATCCAACCTGAGCTTCACTGGTGCAGCACTGCGCCCTGGTCCTCATGGTCCAGCTCAGACATTTCTCCACCAAAACCCCCTGGGAGGCATAAACCAGGTTTTCAAATGTATTGAGATGCTAAAGACCAGGAGGTGTCTAGCAGGATTTTGGATATACTAAAGCAGACAGGTGAGTGGCATTCAATGTAAAACGCTAACCATGGTGGAAACTTTATGAAATTCTGCTGGGTGCCTAGATCAATTGGAGGTACTGAAATAGCTGTGACAGACTGTTGCTACTCACACACCAAATCTGCCGCAAAGCTGGGAACTGAACTCTCCTCTCTCAAGTCTTGGAGTAGAAGTGCAAACTGCACCACTCTTCCTCTCATGAGACTTTCTATCGTAACACTTTCCTGATTATGAACAGGCCAGTCAGCAAACAGGGGGAAATCAATAGTTCAGCTGAGTCTAGAGTTTTATATATCCATGATAGGAAACTTAACCTTTCTGCTGATACTCTTTCATAAAGCATTAATAATTTTCAGTTATTTCCCTTTATTTGTCTAGTGAGAGCCCACCTTCAGAAGCCAAGATAAGTCTACCTTTGAAATGCTTCTGATACCTGTTTAGTATAAAAGGCTAATGCAAACATTACCCTAACAGCCTAGGGAGAATTTGCCAAGTCTCAAAGTGGCTGAGAAGGGCACTGGTGTCATGCCAGTAATTTTCCTGCAGTCAATAAAACAAATTGTCTGGAGCAGTGCTTAGTTGTCCACATGCCTGCCTTTGTTCTCTTCCCTTTCTTTAAAGAAAATAAAAATTTTAAGATCACTCTACAGGAAACCAAAGTAACCACCTCACATATAGCCAAAAAGAACCCATAGTGAAAAATCCCACAGCCCAAAATACTGAAATGAAAAAGCCTCTCAAAAGCCATCATTCTGTCCCACTCACTTGTCCAGTACAGACCTCTAACATCATCTTCAGTACAATCTGGGACACTGTATGAATGAAGTTACCTGAAAGCCTATAAAAATGGAGATACAGACAAAATACTTTCAGTAGAAAAAATTAACTCTTTAATTAACTTGAACCTTAAATTTCTTTAAAAACTTTAAACAACATGTTTAATTCAACTGAATATAGCTTAGTATATTTCTGGAGAACTGTAAATAATGGGCACAGGCCAGATATGACATGTTGCAAATAAAGCATCACATACCATTGTTCGAATATGAAAGTAATTTTTGTAATAGTAAAACAAGCACCTCACAGTAAAGTAATGAAAAAGAAGGAGAAAAAATTTGTGATCTCCTGCATAAATTTAACCTCATTCCTGTTTTTCATCACCTGCCCTTTCTGATCAAGCTACAGTGCAGCTTTCTGGCTTCACGGTGGAAACGTAACTGGTTTTGAACAGGAGTGCAACCACACCCTCCCTTCTCCACTCCCTGCCAGGATGGTCTACTGCCACCTCGGGCCTAGGGACTTTTAACATACTTTAAAAAACACAAGATACTAAGTAAATTGCAATGGATATATGCTAAGTAAAATTACATTTAGAAATGCAAAGTAGAAGACACAGCTATTGCAAGAGGAAAGCAGTTGCTTTTATTTATTCAAGCCCTTAATATATTCAAATTGCAGGCTATCTGGTTATTTTCTTGGAAAACATTACCATTTGTAATGAAGCATTCTTGGAAAAAAACCCCAAATCAGCAACAAATAACAATCAGGATTTTTAAAAACATTTTATTGAGTTTATGATAATTTCTGCAAAGCACTATAGAGAATGCTATTTGATCAATCAAGTCATTAAGCTATGTTTTTAGTCTTAAAAATGCTCAATATTGGAAAGAAAAGAAAATTAAAAAAAAGAGAAAGTAATTTATTTCCCTTTTCTCCCTTCTACAACAAAATGTTTGTATTATCTCAGTTTCAGTAGCTAATGATACACGGGAAGCTCTGACATACATGAATACCATACACATTAAAGAGGAGAAATAATGTAACGAGACATCAATATTAGAGATGCTTTTCTACGCCCAAATACACATTTGTGTAAAAGACTTCAAAAACCAGAAAATATCTGGTAATATGTACTGATGCTTCTCTGGTGAGTTAAATGCCAACGATGCCTTCCAGTACACACACCCACAATGGTAACTGCATTTAGTGTCACTCTTGTTACCTAACACACTTCTTTTCTTTTTCTGGCCAAGATTAATGCAGAATCTGACATGAATTTTTAAGTAGCTGTCAGGATGAATCAGAGATTCATAAATCAAAGGTATTCACGCTGCAGTGAATGGACTTTTTTTCTTCTTTTTTGGCTTAGGAAACATTTAACATGTCAGTGCTCTCTCCTTATAAGCCAATAACAAAACAAGTAAGGTAGAACTTACAGGCATTTGGGATGATTTAAGCCACTTTAACTTGCTGATGCGTATTCGCCTAATCAAGTATTTCTGGGTGGAGGAAACGCGCTGCCGTTCAGGCAGCTGTTCCGCTTTTGGGCTCTGCATCCCACAGCATTACGCAGGAGGGCCATCGGCACGGTTATTGGCGGGCGTTGGACAGGCCCGGGCATTGCTGGCTCCAGCGGGGCCATGCTGGAGAGCTGTGGACAGGCTCAGCTTGTTTCCCAGTCACTGGGCCAAATGTGTAGCCCTGTGGCTACTCCATCAACAGCACAACAGCTGCACCAAGCTGTGGCTACTCTGTTCGCTTATGAAGAGTTGCTCTGGAATTAATAGTTCTTGATATACTGAATCCCCCAAGCACTATACCTTCCTGTGTGGGTCATCCTGGGCTCTTCCTCGCCCCAGACTGCAGAAGGAGTCCCATCTCCTACCGAACTGCTAACAGCAGGAGGAACCACGGAGTGAGGGGAGATGGAGAGTGACTCTGCAGCAGCCGCCAGCCACCCTCCAACACCTGCGTGTGGCGGTGGACGACAGAAGCCTGTGAAGATGACAGTCTGAAGACAGACTGCTTGTGAAGCAGTGATGAAGTCAGAGAGTGTTTTCAACAGCAAGATGCGTACTTCGGAAGAAAGACTCTCTCCAAACCTTCTTCCTCCCCACTTCCTCTCCTCTTGGCTATGGAGATACATTTCAGCTGGGATGCTTTTATGCAAAATTGCGAACTTTTTCAAGTGTAACAATCTATACACTGGTGACAGGGGAAAATAAAGACTTCAGTTCTTTAACGGTAGCTTTTGTAGAAGAAACGAACAGATTTTACGGCCAGAAGACATATGTTAATTCTCCACCTTGGCCACAGGCTGTGCTGACAAACCTGTGATAGTTGATTCTGTTCTGGGAGTTTCAGGGGTGATCCTGAAAAAGGTCCTCTGTTCTCCTAATTAGCAGTCAGGCCCAGCAGTAGCGGGCTGCTGCTTTAATGCTGTCAATTTTTGATGCAGACTCTAAAAAGTGGTATGTTTCTGACACATCTTAGAAAAGATGATTTAATTCTTCATGCTTGGCAATTGCCAGAAGTCCGTCAGAGAAATAATTAATTGAGTTATTTGAATAGAATTCCAATTTGGGAGGCATATAGAGTCTTCTCCAAGAT